TTGGGATATAATCTAAGGAAATTTTTTCCTTCTTCACTATAAATTCTAGGTTTCCCTTACCCTCAGCTGTCAGGATACCATACCTGTGGATCAGGCATTCTGTAAGCCTCTAGATACTAGTGCTGATCAAAGCTCTGCTAGCAGAAAAGGTAAACCCATACCTAGGATAGGTATCAATCCCCATATGGATGAAGTGTTGGACGTTGCAAGATGGAAGGATTAAAATGAAATTAACTTGCCAACAAGTGTCCATTTGACTTCCTTGAGGAATTGTGCCATATTGGTGGACCAGCATAGGTGTCTGTTGTTGGAGATTGGACACGCAGAGGGAGCAGTAGGTAGCTTAACCTTGGTAAGTGGAAGTTCCTGTTATTGGGTCCATGCATAGCCTACATATCTATTGTGATCATTTCATATATATGCCTGTCATACCAGTTCTTGGGAGGCTGATGAGGAAGAACAGTTAACATGAACTGGTCAAGTCATTTTCCAACCTGATTGTTTAGGATCTCTTGAGTGGTGGGTGCTTTCTGATGAGCATGTGTGATATAAAGATGTTCACACTTTGTGCCCACTGCCATCTGTCCCTCCACATATTCTACCCAAAGCCTTCTTATTTCTGATCTTTTAGTTTATTGCTTTTTGGCCAGCAAGGTTATTGGTGATTGCCTAGGAATCTGCACATATTCTCACCTCACGCTACTACTCTCTGCATACAAAGCCAATGACTAGGAGCAACATTTGTAGTTTTTTCATTTGGGAAGATTTTCCCCTCTCTACTGCTTTTCAAGGCTATTTATGAATGTAGCTTCATTGCAACTACCATCCATTCTCCGGTTGTACCCAATATCAAGCTGACTTGTTCAAAAATCAAGCTTAGCTTTTTCTTCTTCCTTTAGCTGTTTGTATGTCATCTCCCTCCATAAAGCTATAAATGTGAGCTGGGAGAGGGTTCCTGGTGCAACCATGGTAGGTGACATGTGGGTTGGGGCTACTGCTCATGAGTAATACTGTCCCTATACCTGAACAGGTTTGACCTTGGATATACCATTTCCATTTTTGAATGGATTACTGCTGGGCCTTTCCAACAGCATGCCTTGGTGGATCCAACATAACCCAGCTCATAATGGGCAATTTCATTCACATGTTCACCCTGTGCCTCATGGTCAAACATTTCATGACTACCAGGAATCAGTGGCAGACCAGGAGCTGCTATTCAAAAGGCATATAATTCTCTGTTGCACATGGCATGGCCTTATTCCCAAACCCCTGCATTATGATTCTCTTGCTGGGACTTACCATTAACCAAGCATAAAAAAAAAACAACAAACCTTTTCCTATAATGAGCCATAGTGAATTTTCAAGACTTTGTCAACCATATGTTCTTTGTTTGAACTACTCAACTCTGCTTTTGTAGTGTGAAAGCATCTATAGACAACATTCACATGAATGAACATGGCTGTATTTTTATAAAATATTTTTTCCAAAAACAGTGGCATACCAGCTCAGTCCAGAAACCATGATTTGCTGATCTCTGCCATGAACTCCACAGTGAATCATTTATCAAAACTGACAACTCAGCAGCATAGGGCCTGCTGGATCATATGGCTCAGCAGTTGGTCAGCTTCTATCACAGCCTGAACCTGTTGGAGAATCCTTCCTCCTCTGACCCCATTTGGAGACGGCAGACTTCCTTGTTACCTGATACATGGGCCAGAGAAGTATTCCTAGGTGTGGAATATGTTGCTTTCAGAATGAGTAAAGGCCCACCAGGTGCTGTGCTTTATTTTTCATTGTAGGGAATGCAAGATGCAGTTATTTGTCTTTTACTTTGAATAGTGTAACTTGACCACTGGGCCCTTAAAAATCTTGTTATGGCAAGTCCCTGAATCTTTGTAGGGTTTTTCTCTCACCCTCTGGACACATGTCTTAACAAGGCCATGAAGTCTCTCAGCACTTCTTTCTTCTTCTGGTCAATTGACAGGATGTCATCCTATCAATGATCAATGTGATATTCTGTGGGATTGTCCCCTTTCCTTACCATTATCTTATAGCAGAAAGTGGGAGAGTTAATAAAGCCCTGGGACAAAACTATAAATAAATATATTTGTGCCTTTCATGAATGTAAAGTGTTTCTAAAAGTGTCTTATCAGTGAAAGAGAAAAAAATGCATTTGCCAAATCGATGGCAAATGCTACATACCTTAGGCCTTAGCTCTAGCAGTATTACCTTGGCCAGTACAGAACCTACAGTAGGGGCTACCACTGGTTGAGCTTGCAGCAGTTCACAGGAATGTTTTAGGATCTATCTGTTACTGCAGGAGCCAGACTGGCAAATTAAATGGAGATGTGATAGGGGCAACCACTGCTTTAGGTCTTTAGTGGTGGTAATAATCTTGCCTTCCCCTGTGTTGTGATTTTTTTTACAAACATGTATTAACTTGCCAGGGTGTAGGGGAATTTTGAAGGCTTCTGCCTACGCTTTCTCATTATTATAACACTTACATCATAAGACAAGGACCCCATGGAAGGGTTAGTCCCATTGCCAGTTTTGTCATTCCTTGATTACACACACGGGGATGGGGGACAGACCACTCTATGGATCTGTGGGCCCAGTGGACTGATGGTAAGCTTGACTTTAGTCAGGACGCCAGTTATTACCTAGCCCCCAATTATGAATAATGATACTTTGTTTCTCTAGATGTCAGTGTCAATGCAGACCTCGTGTCCAATAATTCTGAAAATATCTGGGTACTCTCCTTTCCCCAGTGTATATTTATCTGACTAAATACTGGTAGGTACTTTTAGGAACCATTACAGTATATGTTTGCCACAGTGCTGCAGGGACCTTAATCCTGAGGACTCAGTCATCTTTTGAGAATGGCTGGAGTGAGTGACCAAGGGGGACAGAAATAGACCAGAATGGCAATTAAGGGCCATATCACATCACATCACGTCACATTGTATAACACCTTGATGACTCTTGTGGTGACTTTGCCTTTCACACTGAATGAACATGGAGCTACTTCAGGGATTTGAACAAAGGATTGAAATGATCTAGCTTACATTTTAAAAAAGCTTTCTGACTGCTATGTTGGATGTGGTTGTGGTGATCTGTTTGAAGGCTATTGAACCTCAGTGCCTGCAGTGGAATGTTGGTAAATGATTGGAGTTTGGATATATTTTTACAGTAGATTCTTCAGTATTTAGCAATGAATGAGTGGTGAGAAGAAATATGGTTGCTTTAGAGTATTTTTTGGCCCAGGGAATTGAGACAATGGATTTTCCTTTAATGGCAAAGAGGAAAGCTGTGGGTAAGAGAAGGGTATGAGTGAGAGGATATTTAGAGTCCAGTTTTGAGCATGTTAAGCTTGAGATGTCTTGAAGATATCCAAGTGGAGGTGGTGAGTAGGCAGTTGCTTGACATTTGGTGACAGATGTGGTGAGACATATGTATTAGGAGTCATCGATGTGTAAGTGGTACTTAATGTGATGGGGACTGGTAATTCCTAAGAGAGACAGAGAGAGTCTAGTTATAGAAGGAAGACCAAAGATTGAGCCCTTGGGGTATAGCATTGAGAGACTGATGAAAGTTGAAGAACCAGCAAAGAAGAGTGATGTAGGAGAAGAGAAGAAATTCATTTATTCTTCCTAACAGTATAATCAGAAATGCACTCTAACAGACAGGGCACTTGAACATAGAGAGGTTAAAGTACCTGCCTAAGATGTCACAGGCACTAATACTGCAAAGATATCAGAATTAATAATGATCATGATACTATTATTGGTAATACTCACACTTTCCTTCACTGTTTTGTCCATCCAGGTGTCACAAGACTACTAGAAAGGGCTGAATGGCTTTTTTAGACCTTCCTGAAGTACTCAAATGATTAAAGAGAATTACAATTTTGAATGAAGGGGATAAAATAAAAACTTGTTTGTTTCATATGCCATTTTCCATGGGAAAAGCATCCCAAACCTTAAGGGGGCCAATTTTCAGACAAACCCTGTCTTAGTCAGCTTTGGCTGCCATAGCAAAACACCATAGAGTAGGTGCCTTAGACAATGGACATTTATTCCTTACAGTTCTAGAGCATCTCAGATCAAGATATAGCTGATTCAGTTCCTGATGAGCGGTCTCTTCCTGGCTTGCCTTATAGCAGTGTGCTTACATATTCTTCCCTTGATATTAGAAAGATCTGGTGTCTCTTCTTATAAGGGCATTAATCCAGTCATGACGACCCTTCGTTCATGAACTCATCTCACCCTAATTATCTCCCAAGATCCCCTCTAAAATCACATTGGGAATTAGGGCTTCAACATATGAATTTTGGGGTGACACAAATATTCATCCATAACATGCCTCTTTCAGTTGACTTTCCCATGATTATATCCACTCTTTCAGAGAGAGAGACCTAGTTGAAAACTTTTTAGTGCAAATTTCCATCTTCATTAAAGCAACTCACGTGTTACTCATGTGGTTTGAACTTTGTAACAATCCATCACCCTCCTAGCCCCATCCCTACAGGCCTTGTGCTCTCTTGCTTAACTTACTTTGGGAATCCCCTAAATCTACTGATGTGATGATGCCTAATTCCTGTGTTTCTATGATCCCCACTTTCAGTGACTCAGGGAGACCCATTCCACTGACCATGTGAACACTACCTCTATTGACTTTACAATCTGGCCATCTCTAGTCCTGTGACCTATGCTGAGCCCTTGTCTCCCACTTTTGATGATGATATAATTCTCATCCCTACTCATGCATTCACTCCACTCCACTGTTCCTAAGATCTTTCTCAGTGACCATAACCCACTGACCCTTTACTCCTGACCCCACCTTGATAGCACTTTACTCTCCACTACTATTACCAAAAAACACATTCACACATAGCCTTCTTCACTCAATCCCAGCTTATTTCTTGCCAGTTTTGGGGGGATTCTTGACCAGAGACTCTGGATTTCATTTAATAATCACTCTGCTTAAATGCCTGAGGAATTTATAAAATTTTTTTATTTATACATGGTACTTTCAACTTCAAAATCAAAGTTAATGAATGATACATAAAACTTCATAGTTAAAAGCTTAAATGGTTCATTAAACAAATATGAAAAGCATTCAGCAGATGTTAATATTGCAGAGTTTTCAAGGATGCAGTGATGTCAGAGACAGGTGCTATATTATGCATGGGTTCTGTTTTTATCACTATTTCAACTATCATATTAGGAGGTCCTTCCAACTCTCAGTGAGACTACTTTTTAGGGAACAAAAGGAAAAGCTTACTGTGCAAGAACATCAGTTTCCCATATAATGTTTCTGTTCCAGGATTTCTTCTGGAGATGTGGTGATTTGACCAGAAACAGAGTATGCTGGATGCCCTTGAGGGTACAAAGATAGCACAGTCAGCACTCCTGTCTCCCAGCTCTGAAGACCCAAGTCCTTTGACAGCTGTTCTTTGGACAGTCTGTCTTCAGTGGCTGAGGAGGGTAGAGAGTGTGCCCTTAAATGGAAGGCAATGGAAGCCCTTATGTCAGGTATGAAGAAATTTTCTTGTTAGTATCAGGACTACTTTAGATCATCAGCTTTGAGAACCTAGCATAAGTCATGTTTCAGAAGGTATAGGTTTGCAGAATGGTGATTTTTCCCCCTCCCAGATCCTTGGTTGGCTTCAGGGTGCTTTTCATGTTTATTTGTGATCATAATTCTATGGATCAAATAGTGTGAAAAGTCACAAGGGTGCCTGATTTGGAGATGGGCATTTTCTTATATTTTAATACTTAAAAAGCATCTCTTATCAAAATATCACCATGTTAAAAACTGTATATTTTTGATATTTTAATCTTGAAGGAGTAGTTTTTAAAATCATTAATGGATTAATCAAATTTGACCTTGCCCAAAGCCTTGATTAAAATGGCCCTTTTTACCTGGTCATAAATTTCATTCCATAAAGCATTCCTACTCAGACTTGTACAAGTTCCAGTATTTGAATACCTAAGCTCCTGTGAATGTTTTCTTTTTCTTTTCTTTAAAAAAACATGTAGAGGCAAGTGGCAAGGTGCCAGGGAAGAAGAGAGTGATGGTTAAATGAGGGAAAAAATTATATAATTTCTATTTTCAATATTTGTTAGGTAATGTTTCCTGAATTGATGCAGGCTCTATTCTGGTCAAGTTTCTGTTTTTTTCTTAACAGTATAAACCTAAATAGCACTCTATTTGGGAATTGAGAATCATGAACTTTTCATGAGTTTTTTTGCATTCAAGCATTAATACTCTTCTTGACAATTGCAGAGTATGTAAAAAAATACAATGAAAAGAGAATACAATTTTGCAGCTTGCAGTCAATAAGTGTATATTAATTGAAATAGCCATATATTTATTATATAGAATTTATAGCAGTGTACAGTGATTTTAATTTACTTCTATGAAAATGATTTACTTGAGAGTGTATGTAACATTCTATATTTAAAAATAAAAAGCAGCATTCAGAATAATAGTTTAAAATATGAAGTAGGTATTTTAAATGATTTTATTTGAGTGTATCATGCACTCATATATTTTAGTAATTTGTTTTTAAAGCAGAAGGAATTGAGGCAGAGAAAAGTGAAATCCTTTTCTGGCAAATCTTCAGCTATTGCTGTTAATTGACATAGTTTTAGATCCTTCATCTGAAAAATCTAGAATGAAGGCTTTCATTTTGTGGAGGTGGTATTTTAAGATTGTTTGGGTAATGTGCCTCTTTGTTCAGATACTGGGTCTCTTTTGTGGTTATTGAGTATTAATTATTTTTCAAGTAATAAAGTACGTCCAGCTTTGTGATTTTGTTCCATGCATCAGGAATTGCACCTTTACCTATAAATCTTCTGTGATATTTTTCTTCCAGCTGTGATCTGAAGTGAGAGACAAACCATTTCCAGTATGGCTGGGTGGATGTGTCTGGGGTGATACTCCATTCGGCATACTCCCCTCCTGCCTGTCGATAGTTCTTAAATGGAATTTCCCTGCCATCTTTCAAAGCCAAAAAACAATCACTTGCTACCATACTAGTACAAAAATCAATGACAAACGTTTCTGTTTTTTGCCAATGCATTCCACCAATAGCCTGTGGACGGTGGTAGGGAACACTATGATATCCTTCGTGGGTGGGGATTGTGTTTGTACAAATTGCTCTGCAGAAGGGACACTGTTTCCAGCAGCCATGGAGATGTTCAGAGAGCATTTTCTGGATTTCAGGAACAATGTCTTCTACAAGCATACACAAATAGTTCTGTGCTACTCCCTCTATTGCAGGATCCAAAGCTTTACTCATGGCTTCTTTGAGAAACTCAATATCTTTTATCTCCTGGTGTTCAATGCTTATCAAGTCTTTTCGTGGAAAGATCAAGTTACCCCCCAGGTGATCACAGAACAAATCCAACCACTCAGACACTGTGCTGCTGTTATCTTTAGCTATTGCTGTGGATGCATGAATAGCTGAGAGGATGGCATTCTTGATGTCATCTAAACTTATTTTTAAAAAAGTCTTCATTTTTTCATTTCTTTGCTCAGAACAATATCTTTTAATATTGTTTTCAAAGTAAGTCTTAAAAAATGACTCTGAATTTTGAAGGTACTCCCAGTACATATCAAAATTTTCCTCTTCTGCCAGAGAGATGAGAATGTGTTTCTCCAGATTAGTCCTGTTTCCATTGAATGCTGGGCAGGCAGCTCGCATGTCCCCAGCAATTTTGTGGGCCATAGTTTTCCTTACAGTGGTGGAGATAGCAGGGGTGAGTTTGTGCCACAGAAAATCAACAAATGTTTTGATTGAGGTTGCTCCTTGACAAGAGATCTTAAAACTCATGAAGAAATCATCTTTCTTGCTTTCTAGATAGTTCACAGGATCATTTGCTCTCTTGAATTCCTTGTGTATCTCCTTAAACTTCATGGCTGCCCTTCGGAATAAACACAATGATAAGTCAATTTCATATTTTCTTGTAACTGTACATCTTTCTTGAATGGGAGCAGATTTCACCTCCTCATCTATGATTTTCAGGATTTCAAAGAAATAACTTGGACTGTAATCATGCCTTTGCTTACTAATGCTGTTAATAGTTTCATTAAATTTTGAAATAATTCGGTCAGTAATGGAATTTACAGACTCTATATCCTGGGGCTCTAATGTCAGTGGATAAATGTTAAAATATTTCTTGTTCATCTTGATATGTTTGTCATATTTGATTTGAAAGTTTTCTCCAAAATTTTTCTTCAGTCTGTCCACCATATTTTTCTCCTTTTTGAAATAATCCAAGAGGATGTTTTCAGAATCCACTTCAATATTAGGCTCTGTGACTGGTGGGAGATTTGAGAACACATCACAGACCCATTTTTCCCAAAGTGGGTTGAATTTCTCATGTAGTTCTTCCTCACTCAATTCTGTGCCCTTTACAGTTAAAGCCAACTTTTGGCTTTTTTCCAATAATTCCTTTTCATAAGCTGATTTTTTGTTATCCAGTTCTTCTTGCTGTTCTTTAAAACTAATAATTTCTTTGGCTTTACTTTGGCTGTCTAAAATTAGTTTCTCTTTAAGGATCATTAGCTTGTTTTCAAAACTTCCTTTCCACTGAACCAGTACTTCACTATCTGGATCTTCATTAAAGTATTTTTCAAGTTCTTGCTTGATGGCTTCATATTTTTCTGTAACTGGAGCCTCAAGCATGTGTGTTTCAGGTGTTTGGATTTTTCCATTCTGAATCTGGTTGGTCAGCTGGTCCTGCAAGGTCAGCACATGACTCCTCAGCTCCCAGGTCCAGTAGTTATACATTGTTTCCAATTTGCTCATGGCCATGACCTCTCTGGTGTTCCTGAAACTGAAAATAAAGTTCTCATTCAACAGGGCTCTCCACAAATCTTGAACTCGGAATTTTACATCCGATATCTTCATGATGCTGCCCCTGCACTCCTGTTTGGCAGCCAAAAGAATTCTACTTTTGAGTTCCTGGACATTGTAGCTGTAGTCAGGATTGGGAGGGGCCATTGGGGGACTGCCATCCCAGAGGTGAGCAAAGTAGTAGACGTGAGTATTGACATCAAACTTAATGACATCACTAAAGCGGGTTACATCTGAGCACTGTTCTTCTTCAGCAGCTGTTGCTGCCATTTCATCTAACCTCTGCTCTATTCGCCTTCTTTCTTCCATAGTTTGGCCTTTAGCTGTAACTTCCCCCACATTCTGATGGACAAAGAAACAAGTGGGAGAGATTTTTACTTGTTTCATCCTCAGAAAAGCTTGGACGACTATTTGTAGAATATCCTGCATTTCTGATGGATTTTCCCCAAAAACATTGATCAGAGTCAAATTTCCAAGTCCGATGACAAAGGTTGCCAACTCATTGTCCCGATTCTGGGACTTGTTGCTGAGTTCTGGGGCTCGAAGTCCTTCTGTATCTACAACAAGCATGAAGTCAAAGCCAAGTTCCTCTGTGAATGTCTCCTCCACCTTCAGGAGCTGCATATAGGCCCCCCGGGTACACCTCCCAGCACTGACAGTGAACTGCAGCCCAAAAATGGCATTCAGTAAAGTGGACTTCCCTGAGCTCTGTAGGCCAAGGATTGAGAGGACAAACAGCCGTTTGTTTCCAAGCTTCTCAGATACCTGGTCGAAAACAGCTGCCACCCACTTTAGGGGCACATATGAAGCATCCCCATCCATCAGCTCAATGGGAACCCCAGATATCATCAGATCTGCAGCAATGTGGGGAAGGGAGAGAAGGAGACTATCTTTTATGGAAGAAGTTTCTTCCAAAGCTTCATAGATCTGACCAAATTCTCTGAGAATTTGCTTAGTTCCCAAGGAACAGTCACTAATCTCTCTGGAGATAGCTTCTATCTCACTTTGCCAGGCTTTCAGGGACTTACTTTTTGGTGCCTCTTGCTTTTCTTTTTGGACCACTGACCACAAAGCCTTTTTCTTCTCATTTAGGTTTTCCAAGTGTCCTGCAGTCAATTTGTCTAAAAACACACTCAGCCATTGCAAGAAGTAGAGTTTGGTGTGAGTTTCTGAATGATTTTGGAGAATTTCAAGGACAGAATTCATTAAGTCATTGAGAGGAAAGGCTCTCCTTAGCTGTGCCTGTCGTAGTGATTGTTTCTCCGTCTCAATCTCACTCTTGTGTTGTTCAATGCTTCGATTCCCCTTTTCTCTTAGATGATAGAGTTCTTTGTCCTTTTTACACCAAAGTTGCCACAGTTTTCCCTGAAGGGGTAGTATTTTTTCCTTCACCTGAGATATTTCCACTTTTTCCAGTGGATCCATTAGAACCTCTGCCTTTTCTCTGGCTTCCTTGCAGTCTCTCTGGTCTTCATCAATAAGCAGTCCTTGCTTGCGAGCAACTTGGGCACAGTCCTCCAGGCTGAGGGCAGTGTCAGAGAGCTCTAGCAACCGTCTGATTGTAATTGTGAGCTCCTCTATTAATTCTGCTTCATTTCTGTTCCTAATTCCAATTTTCACCCGTAGGCCAGAAGTATTGGCCATCCGTTTTTCTTTATCATCAAGCAAACAGATTAAAGGTTTTGATGACTGACACAGGTCATGGACAATTTTTTGGTTTTCCTTATTGTCATCAGAAGTTGCCATGAGGACCACAATGAGAGAAGAGACCTCCTGCAAAAAGGTGAGTTGCTTCTTATGTTCCTTTGCATCTCCGTGAAGATTGGTGAAGGTTAAGCAGTTGTCAAATCTGTCCTCATATCTCACCCCAGGACAGAACCAGGCAACTTCCACCACACCTCCCATCAAGAGACAGTTCCTGCTGCTCCCTTTGCAGTGTCGGTGAAAAAAGACATCATGCTTTCGTTTAGTGAGAAGACAGTTCATGATCTGAGATTTGGAGGCAGAGAAGTCATTTCCAACTCTAAGAAAGGACACAATTGGGGTAGAGACACGACACATCTGCTGATTCTTGTAATTGTCCTTCTCCTCCTTTGTTGATTTCCTTGCTTGCTGCCAGCTCCTCCTAATTTGACTGAGAGACCAGAGGGAGAATTCAATTTGAGAATTGCAGGGAGTAGGTATGAGGAGGGGGAGGGCAAACTGACAAATCGAAAGTTTGCCGAAAATATATTGTCTGGCAAAATCATCTGCACAGTGAAGAATTGCCATCTGAATATCCATAGGGTGAATGCAGGACCTCACATTAGTAGCTGAAGGTTTAGTGGGACTATCATTGTGTTCAGTGAAGTCTTCATATGGATCAAAAGTGTCATTTTCTTGATTTGAGGTGCTTGGATAGACTTGCTTCTCTGTGTATCCACCATCTTTGATGATCAGGTATCTAAACCCATAATCCAGCATCAGTAGCTTCTGTAGGAAGTAGAAGGGAAGCTCTCTTTCAGAGCAGGGCTGGGTATTGTGCACAGACGTCTTGTAGATCTGATGGAAGTTAGCTGTGCTCATCTGTTTTGGGTAGTAATGTTCTAGGTCTAGACGCTGGAGTAATTCTAGGAAGGCTTGATTTTCTATGACCTCACATTTGTTATTTTCATTATCATGTGTTTCATGGGGCTGTTTTATTTCATGCAAGAGACTTAGCAATTGTTTACTCTCCTCATCCCTTTGCAATGAAGAGATGGTGTCTCCATACTCACCATCAGTGAGCGATCTCAGGTCTTTTTCTAGGTTTTCCCAGTTATGATCTGCTCCAGGTTTGGAGAGGACTTGTACAACTTCTTTAGACAAAGATTGTGCCATGTGATGTCTTACCAATGCCAAGCGTTGTGTTTTCTCCTCTGGAGAAACAGCTTTGTCACTAACTGTAGCTGTCAAACCTGTGAGTACCAGGAATGCATGAGCCCTGCAGTCACAAATATTTTTGAGCTCCTTGTATTTACCTTTGGCACTTTGCATTTCATTCAGTAGGAAGTCTAACTCATCACACCCCAAGAGATATTGAAAAGTATTGTTTACCCCATGATATCCTGCACCAGTGGCAATGGAAAGTAGCAAGATGTGTGTGTCTTGCTGCCCTGTTTCTTGGAGGTAATTCAAGAAGCAGCCAAGAGACAAGCTGACCTCATTAGTAGCCTTGCTTTGAGCTTCTTCCACTGATTCTGTGGACTCAGATTTGGCCTTCACTTCCATAAGGTCATTCTTGTTTCTTTCAAGGATTTTAATCAATTCAGAAAATTTGGTGACGTTTACATGCTCTTGGTCTGGCTCTGACTGGAAGATCCACTGCATAATGGAATCAGCCTGTGGAAAGTTTGACACTTTGTAGATGTAAGGATCCAAAAGGCTGCGCAACTTAGATTTGATAAATTCAGTTCCAGAAATAGAAGATTTTTTGCAAAAGTTGACTGTGTTTACCAGAAAATTTTGTAGACCCCAATCTGTGAGGCATCTATGAATCCAAAAGTCATAACTTTTTATTTTCTGAGTCAACATTTGCATGAAATATATCAGCTTTTTCAGCTGCTCTTCAGGATGGGAAACCTCCCAGGATTTCACATTGTCTAGGAAAACAGTAGCTGCCTTCTCAGCACTCAGTAATTCTTCTCCCTCCTGGATCTGGGCAGTGAGCCCAGTCAGAGCAGTGTAGCTGTCTTTCAGGTGCTCAGCTACCTGAAGAGGTTGTTTGAAATCACTTCTGTGGCTCGAGAGGATGATATCCCAAATGGGCACGAGCTGATTTCCCCGGTCAATGACACACCAGGTTTGATTATTGGCCACCAGGCCAGTTTTCCACTGTAAAAGGCCATTTGCTTCTGGTGGACCACCTGTCTGGGCCACAGATAATTGCACTTCGGTTTTAAGATTTTGCAAGTTAATGTTCTCAAAGGCTGTGTTTGAAAGATTTTGTGACATATCCACACCTGCAGCACCTTTCACTCCAAAGCCAGTGTAGCTCCCCATTATGTAAATATCCAGGGCATCTGCTGTCTGCTGTTTGACTGCTTCCAGATGCTCACTTTGGAAACCCTCTGAAATGGCTTTCCACCAGTAGATTCCTCCCAGGTGCAAAGGGCCCTGGTTAGCATGAGAGCCAAACCTTTGGAAGAATTCTTCAGTCCTGCGCCTCAGCAAGGGAAGTCTATCTGAGTCTGTGGGCTGACCCAAAAGATCTTCAATGCTTTTCAGTTCCTGGAGAGCAGGCTTGGAGAACTGGAGCTGATCAACAGCAAAGTGGCAGGAGGCCAGCGGGATGTAGTTGAACTTGGTTGAGCAGAAATAAGAGTGCTTAGAATGTGACTGCCGTCTTTCCTCAGATTCTGAGTCTTTCTTCTGATCCATACCAGCTTTTAGGCTTAATCCCCAACCTCCACCCTTTGCTAAGGCAGTTGCACTGAAGCCCAGCTTCTCTATAGTCTGAGTGAACATGGATTCTGCTTGAGAAGATGTAAATTCTGTTGTTTTCATCCGTGTACCCTGCTGTGGGCCGCACAGTGAGAACTCCTTGGGGACACTGAGTAGCTCCTCTCTCTTCTCTATCAGGCCCCCTTGGTCACTAGTTTTGTAAATTCCCTGCAGGGCTAATCCTCCAGATGCATATCTCACCAGCTCTCCATCTGGGAGGTTTTTCCTGTGAGACAGTGTCCCCTCTGTGTGGTTGAGTTGTTTCTGCAGTTTTTCTATGACTTCTCGGAGGGACTTTTCAGGAGGTGGCCAGTACTCTTTGGGGATTTCCATTGCCTGCCTCAGCTCTTCCTCCTTTTTCCTCACTGCTTCTTCCTGCCGCTGCCTCCCTTCTGAAAGCAACTCTTCCAGCTCCTGCAGAGCCTGTTTTGTCTGCTTCAGCCTTTTCTTTAATGTTTCCACCTGAGACTCCGGTAACTCTGCAAGACGATTTGAGTGTGACAGGTTAAGCAACCTCTCCAGGGCCCTTTCCTCCCAGGAATGTTGCGCCAGTGATTTCAGCTTCTGTAGGTCTTCCTCATTTAGGTGTTGTAAGGCCTGGGCACAGGTCACACCCAGGTGTTCCCTCAGCTTCGGCAACCAGAACTCAACTGCCAGTCCTAATTCTCTCAGCTGCTCTTGGAGTTCTTGCCTCCTTTTGCCTCTGAGCTGGGGCTCATTATCATCTGCTGTGTCCATCGCTTGAGGAAGAAAAAACACTCAGTTAGCCTATGTCATTGTTATACATAGCTCTGTGATTAATCTTCAGTAATGTGTTGCTTTTCTATACACTAATAATGAACTATCAGTAAAAGGAATTGAGGGAACAATCCCATGTAGTCCCACACCAAAAAGAATAAAATAGCTGGCAATAAACTTAACCAAGGAGGTGAAAGACATATAGTTTGAAAACTGTGAAACACTAATGAAGGAATTTGGAGATAATACAAAGAAATGGACAGACATGCTGTCTTCCTTGAGTAGAAGAATTAATGTTAAAATGTCCATAATACCCAAAGCAACCTATAGATTTAATGCAGTCACTATCAAACTACCTATAACATTTTCTACAAAGTATAATAAATAATCATAAAATTTACTTGGAACCACAAAACACCCCAAATTTCCAAAGTGTCTTGAGAAAAAACAAAGCTGGAGGTATCACAGTCTCTGATGCAGACTATACTGCAAAATGATAGTAATCAAAACAGCATTGTACTGGCATAAAAATAGAGACATAGGTCAATGGATAAGAATATAGAGCCCAGAAATAAACCCTTGCATTTATGGTCAATTAATCTATGATAAAGGAGGCAAGTACGCAGTGGAGAGAAGAGAGTCCCTTCAATAAGTGGTGCTGGAAAACTGGAGAGCCACATTAAAAGAATGGATTAGCAAAAACAGGCAGAAGACCTAAATAAGCATTTCTCCAAAGAACAGATACAGATGGCCAACAGGCACATGAAAAGATGCTCAGCATCACTAGTTGTTAGAAAAATGCAAATCAAAACCACAATGAGGGATCACCTCACACTGGTAAGAATGGCTTTCATCAAATAGTCTACAAATAATAATTGCTGAAGAGGGTGTGGATAACAGGGTAAATATGTATTTATAAAGAAGAAGTCATATTTATGTGTGTGTGTATATATACTTGTGTGTATATATACATATACACATACACATACATCACATATTACTGCACCATAAAAAAGAATGAAATATTGCCATTTGCAATTACATGGATGGATGTAGAGAATATTATTCTACATATAATAAGTCAGACAGAGAAGGACACATGCTCTATGTTCTCACTTATGTGTGGAATCTAGAAATTTAAAGAAATGAATGTATGTAACAAAATAAGCAGATTCATAGACATAGAAAACAAACTAGTGGTATCAGTGGGGAGAGGAAATGGGTAGGAGAAAGACTAGGGTATGGGACTAAGAGATTAAAAACTACATAGAGGACTATATTCAATACCTTGTAATAGCCTATAATGAAAAAAAAGAGATAAAACTACTATGTATAAAATAAATACGCAACAAGGACATATTGTACAGCATGGGAAAATATAGCCATTATTTTATAATAACTTTAAATGCCATATAATCCATAAAAATATGGACTCACTATGTTGTACACCTGAAAGTAAAATAATATGGTAAATCAAATATAATTCCATGAAAAAGAACTCTGCTGTGAAAAACAGCAAGAAGAGTGGAGCTAATGTACTCATAGAAAGAGAAAACTCCAGATATACCACCACTAAGAAACAGAATACCTCACATGTAGTCAACTAGCAAAGATTTAAGGAGGTGTCTACTACTTCAGATGGAATAGCAACAATACAAAGCTACATGGATATGAAAATCAAGGAAACATGTCATCATTGAAAGATAATAATTCTCTACTAACCTACCACAAAGGCACCCGATTCAGCAACCTGTCTGATAAAGATTTCACAACAGCTGTTTTGAAGAAACTCAGTGATCTACAAGAATACTCAGAAAGACAGTTTAATGAAGTCAGGGAAGAATATTTGAACAAAATGAGATAATTATTAAAGAGCTAGAAATCATAAGAAAGGAGCATATAGCATATTGGGGGCTGAAGAATTTAATGAATGAAATGGAAAATGCAACAGACAGCAAGTACACCAGAGTAAAGGGAAGACACGATAAGTGAGTTAGAGGACAGGAATTTGAAACGAATATCAAAAAACATGAAAAAGAGTGAGTAATGCTTACATGATCTAAGAAATTCAGTAAAAAATTTAGAATATTCATAATTTCAGAAGAAGCAGGTGAGAATGGTGCATTACTTTTATTTAAATCAGCTGAGAACATTCTACACCTGAGGAGAGAATTGGCTCTCCAAACTCACTAAGCTAATAGGGCTCCCTATTATCTCAATGCAAAGAAACATTCTCTGACACATTATTAAGAAACTGTCAAAAATCAGAATAGAGAATTGAAAAGCAGTCAGGAAAGAAGATTATAATGTGTAAGTTTCCCCCATTAGGCAATCAGTGAATTTCCCAGCAGAAACCCTACAGGTTAGGGAGAGTGAAATGACATATTCAAAGTGTTGAAAGAAAAATAAATTGACTTCCAAGGATATTTCATCTGGTAAAGTTATCCTTCACATATAAAAGACAAATAAAGCCTTTCCCAGACAAGCAAAAGCTGAGGGAGTTGATGACTACCAGACCTTAAAGGAGTTCTTCAAGCTGGAACTAACAGGCAGTAATTAGTGAAATGAAAATACTCAACTCCATTTAAGGTAATATTTAGAAGTATCTAATTCTGTACTAGGATGATGTGTTAACCACTTAAGTATGGTATGTGTTAATGAAAAAGCATAAAAAATAACTATAGCTATTACAATAATAAATACACAATATAAAACATGTAAATTGTGACATTAAAAATAAGCAGTGGGGTGATGAAAGCATAGAGGTCTTGTATGTGAACAAAATTAAGTTGCTATCAACTTAGAATGTAGTATTAGATTTATGAGCTGTTTTTATGGAAGTCTAAGGATAACCACAAAGCAGAAACCCAGAGTGAATTCCCAAAAGATAAAGAAAGTGGAAACAGCTTATCCCCACAGAAAACCATCAGTTTATGAAGGTAGGCAAAAACAGAAGGAAAAAGAAAAAGTGGAAATACAAAAAACCACACAAAAGCAGTTGAATAAAATGTCATTAGTAAATCCTTACTGAACAGTACTTACTTTAAATAGAAATGGATTGAATTCAGCAAAAGGCACATAGTGCCTTGATAAATGAAAAAAACCTAGACCCAACTGTAAAATGCCTATAAGAGATTCAATTTAGCTTCAAGTAAACAAATAGGCTCAAAGTGAAGGGATGGAAAAAGATATTCCATGCAAGTGGAAACCAAGAGTGGGAGGGGTGGGTAGCAATGGTTATATCAGAATAAACAGAGTTTAAGGTATAATTGGCACTAGGAGAGAAAGAATGTCAATATATGATGATAAAGGGATCAATTCATCAAGAGATACAGCAATCATAAATACATACACATTCATCATCAGAGCACCTAAATATATTAAACAAATACTAACAGATCTGAAGGGAGAAATAAGCAACAATAGAATAACAATGGGACTTTGTACCCCACTTTCAGTAGTGAATATATCATCCAGATAGAAAATTAATAAGGAAATATTGGATTTGAAACATACATTAGACCAAATGGATCAAACAGACATTTATAGAACATTTCATGCAACAGTAGCAGCATACACATTCCTCTCAAGTGTGTGCAAAATATTTTCCAGGATAGAAGCTATGATAGGACATAACACAAATCTGAGCAAATGTACAAAGACTGAAATTACATTAAGTGTATTTTCCAACACCAATGGAATGAAACTAGAAATCAACACCGAGAGGAAATGTGGAAAATTTTACAAATATGTGGAAATTAAACAGTGCACCCCTGAACAACCAGCTGCTCAAGGGGCAATGAAATGGGATAGAATAAAAAATCTCAAAACAAATGAAAATGGAACCACAGCACACCATGAACCTTGGGATACTGCAAAAGCAGTTCTGAGAAGAATTTTTTTTAACAATAAATACATATATTGGGACCAAAAAAAAAAAAAAAACCTAACCTGCTTCTCGATGAACTAGAAAAAGAACAAATGAAGCCCAAAGTTAGCTGAAGGGAGGAAATAAGAAAGATAAGAGTTGTAACAGAGACTAGAAAAACAATAGAAAAAATCAATGAAACAAATAGTTTTTTTTTTGAAAAATACACAATGATGATAAAATTTTAGCCAGACTAAGAAAGAGAAGATTTATATAAATAAAATTATTAATGAAAGACACTAAAATTCATACCACAGAAATACAAGGATTCATGAGAGACTACTATGAAATAATTATATGCTAAGAAATTGGGTAACCTGGAAGAAATGGATATATACTTACAAACATACCCTACCAATACTGAATCATGAACCAATAGAAAATCTGGACAGACCACTGAGTAAGGAGATTGACTTGGTAATCAGAAATGGCAACCACAGGACTAGATGGCTTCACTGGAAAATTGTATCAAACATTTAAAGAAGAATTAATACCAATCCTTTCCAACTCTTCTGAAAAAACTGACGAGGAGAGAATATTCCCAAACTCATCTTATTACCCTGATACCAAGGCCAAATGAGGACACTGCAAGCAAACTGTAGACCAATATCCCTAATCATATAGATGCAAAAATTCTCAGCAAAATATTAGCAAATCGAACTCAAGATCACATTAAAAGGATTCTATACCAGGACCAAGTGGGATTTATCCCTGGGATGCTAGCAAGTTTCAACATACACCAATCAATAAGTGTAATATATCACCTTAATAAAATGAAATGTAAAAATGACATGATCATTGCAACAGATAAAGAAAAAGCATTTGATGAAATACAACATCTCTTCATCATAGAAATCCTGAATAAATTGGGCAGCAAAGGAACATAACTCAACATAATAAAGACCACGTATAACAACTCACAGGCTACCATTTTACTAAATGGTGAAAAATTGAAAGCTATTCCTCTAAGATCAGGGATAAGTGCTCACTCTCACCACTCTCATTTAGTATGCTATAGGAAGTCCTAGCTAGAGCAGTTAGGTAAGACAGAGAAATAAAAGGTGTCCAAATTAG